TCGCTCAAACTTCACGAACATCGAGGCAGCTATTGGAGGAAAAATCTCCTGCGAATGATTTTGGAAAAACTCCGATTCTCAGTGCCGAGAAATGCGACTTCAAGTAAAATGGTGTTATTTTGTAGCTATAACAACTCCGATGTCTTTGCACCCCTGATCATAACAAATTTTAATCTTTATCTAATACAGCTGTGGTGGTCATTTTTCCAAATCTTTGTTAATGGTGACGTACTTAATGCTCAAACCTGGGAGGTATTGAACCTGAAAAACTCCATCGAGTTACCTTAGGCCTCGAGATCGCTGACACCCCAGACGTCATGAATAGCAACCGGAAATTCGATGTCTCGCTTTATGGAACGCTTTTACCAGTCTCACACAAAGAATCTGAATGCCTTTCTTTTGACTCCCGCTGTAAGAATTTGTCGAGTCAGAGCAATGAGAGAGAGAAAATATCAGCTTCCTCGCTATCGCCATTATATTGACGTAAGGGACGTTATCGTTGTTGTCACTCAAGGTCTCAAATGAGTGCTCTGAAGATGGATTTCCACTGTCGCGTAATTTTTGCGTGTGTACATATAACAGAGGTATGACAATAAACGGGGTATTATAAACGACGTCGGTTCCTCACTATCAGCCTGTGCGTATTAACTTGGTGTGCATAGTTGGGTATCGGTATTGTTTGGTATATATTCCCGAATGTCCACATTTAAAGGCGGAGTGCTTTTATAAAGTTGAAGTCTGCATTGACTGGTTGTCTGCTTTGATGAGGTGTCCATATGAACGTTGTGTTCACAGTAACAGGGTCTCCGTATTTTCGCAGGGTCTGATTAAGCGTGGCGTGTGTCGCAGAAGTATTTCAACGTTGATATGTAACGCAAATGTTGTCGTGGTTTTCGGCTTACGATGCTCCCGGATCAGTTCTCTCATACGTAATTTTTTCATTAGTGTCCGCATTACCTTTGCCCTGTCGTACTCATTGATCAATGCTTTAAGCTGGGTCTCATGGCGTTTCTCTGCTTCATCAAATATGCGTGACCAAGGCTCTAAGCTTTCTGTTTCTTCTTGGGAAGACTCCCTTTCTTGGCTAGAGACTTCGCTTTCTTGGGAGAAATCGCTTTCTTCGCTGTCTTCATATTTTCCAGCTCCTTGTTGAAGGTGTAAGGTATAGCCAGTACCGTAGCCAGACCAAACGGCCAACCGAGGCAGGCGGGAGTTGCTAGGGGGGTTCGGGGGCATGCCCCCCCCCCCCCCCCCCCCNGCTACATAATCTGGGTGACCGTTAACCTCGCCAATGGTTTTGATCAGTATTTGTTCAAAAAAAATTTGAGTTAACGTACGTAGCCCCTTGAGATCGATGATATGGTAATTTTTTCATAGTATATTGACTGAATTGCTGAATTCTTTGTAATATCATGATGCGTTAAAAAGATCCGATGATCGCTTATGTAAAATAAAAATGATCGGCGAAATTCGTCAAAATTTTACCGAGGCGAGTGCCTCGGTTGGCCTCATACTAGCTACGGCGCTGATAGCCTGTGCTTGTCATCTTTGGTTTGAACCGCATGCGTTCTGATACGAAACTAAACTTAGAAAGCAACGCGTCTCTTTTATAGAAAATTGGTGAAGGCGGGATTTGGCTAACTTTTTTAATTAGGCACTGTTATGACTAGAAATGGCCCGTTTGTCTCCTTTTGTCCCTTTTGGCGTGGTTTTGACCTTTCAGGCCTGGTTATGGCCTTTCTGGCCTGTGTTTGGCCTTTCTAACACTCTATATAACCTGACTACTGACTATTGACTATTTGCGAAAAAGATGTCATTTGTGTCCAGCCATCGAACTGTCGACATGGTTTACAAGAGAGTTTGCAGAAACTGTCCTATTTCATTGTGTGGGGCGAAGTACCTTGTCAGATTAGCTAACCATCTCGCGGATGTTCATCAGTTAGTCCACATACAGCGAAGACTGTATTTACAAGAGGCGAAACTGCAACCTAAAGTTAAAGTCGTCGTTTACGAAAGTGAAGCGGATAATTCCGGAAAAAATCACTATCGCAATCCAGTACAGACACAAGAAACGGTATACTGCGAAATGTCAAGATCAGAGAGAAATGAAGCCTCTTTTACTAGTAAAGCAAAAGCTAAAAGACCGACTACACAGAACAAGACAAAGTGCAAGAAACAAAGAAAGTCGAACTCTTGTCTTAGAGGCCATAGGAAAATTGTGTAGACACGGAAGGATTATTTATTGTTCCTCGCAATGGAACGGAAAAACTGATTTGTAATAGTCAGTTAATGGATTAATTTTCATTCCTTTTCCTTTCAAATCGCTGTATACTTGACTCTTTTTGTTACTGACTTTTAATAAAGTTTTTGAAACGGTATCTCTCTTGTGGTTTATTGCTAGCAATTATTAGTCGCGTGTTCAAATTAATCCTTGTTAAGTTATTTAAAATTGTTGATATGTTAATACGTCAAGGTGCTCCCTTGGGTCTGGCTGTAGAGA